CTGCCTGATAAGGCATCTGCTAAGCTTGTCAAGCCAGCTATAACTTAAGCAGTACCCCCTTGTACAACCCCCCTGTACACAATAGGCCACATCAGTTTCAATGTGAACCTTATGAGGTTCAAAAAGGCCAAGTGCAAGGTCCTGCACTTGGGTCAGAGCAATCCCTGGCATCAATACAGGCTGGGGGATGAAGGGATTGAGAGCAGCCCTGTGGCCAAGGATTTGGTGGTACTGGTGGATGAAAAGCTGGACAAGAGCCAGAAAGATGTGGACAAACTTTTTAGTAGTCCCTAAAAAGTTTTGATAGAAAAAGAGATAATGATTTTAAACTGAAAGAGGGTAGATTCAGACTAGATAAAAAGAAGAAATTTTTTATAATGAGGGTGATGAAACACTGGAACAGGTTGCCCAGAGAGATGGTAGATGCCTCATCCCTGGAAACATTCAAGGTCAAGTTGGATGGGGCTCTGAGCAACCTGATCAAGTTGAAGATGTCCCTGTTCATTGCACAGGGGTTGGACTAGATGACCTTTAAAGGTCCCTTCTAACCCAAACTGCTCCATGATTCTATTCTATAATTTGACTCTGGGGAGTTAGTGTGTTGAAGATTGTCTAAAGAAAGTCATAGGATTTAATTTTAAAAGAGGTTTTTAAAAACAGTATTGGCTTTATTCAGACACGTAAAAAAACCCAAACAACAACAAAAGCCATACAACAACAACAAAAAAAAAAAACAACAAAAAAACCCCCACAAAATCCCACAAACAAAACCCCAACAGATCAGCGTGCTCTACAGTATGTAACTACTGTGCAGTAATAATCTGCATTGGTGTAGTGTCTCTCTGGTGTTCTGCACTGTACCATATCTTATATTGTTGTTGTTTTCAGATTTCTTTGATATTTCTTCCTCATTTCATGTTGGACTGAATAGCAGCAGACTTAGAACATTAAGGATTAAGCTCTGTTTCAACTGGCTCCTGTGCTGTGGCATAGTGACAAACTGAGTTTTGGGTTTTTTTTTTTTTCAGCCTGTCATGAAGATGATTGTATAGTTTAAGCATATTATTTAAATCTCTTGTAGTGTATAAGGCACATTCTTAAAGAGCCTGTAGCTCATTACAGAAGAACTGTAGCTAAACAGTACTTTCAGCTTCTGTCAAAGATAATGCTGATGAAGAGGCAGCTGATTTAGAGAAAAATATTTCCATTTGAAACTTGTTGCTCGAGACCCTCATGCATTAATGCCTGCCCTGCTATATAGTGTCAGGGAACAGGTTCTGAAGTGATGGTATATGTGAAATAACAGTGCAAATTAGCTTTCTCTTTGAGCTCTGTAAACAGAAAATGTCAAACAAAATTTCTAGTATAACCAAATTACTGAAGTAGTAGCAGTAAAAATATCTAATTCCTACTAGATTGCACAAAACCAGTGTTTACTGGATCTCTGAGGTCTAGATGTGTTTGGGAATGTGTTATATGATCAGCAGTACTTCCGCTGGGCTTTGAGTGTGGATGTGTTTACAAAATACATGTCTTGCTAATGCAATTGTTTGGTTCCTGTAATGGGAAGCTGGAAGATATACTGTTACCATAAAAGTCAGGCAGAGAAACTCTCTAAGACTCAATTTGGACTTCTAGAAAACAGCATTCTTTATTGCAGCACTGGGTGCACATGCGAATCATTTTGCAAAGGTGAGCGCACCCAATACTTGCTGACAGCAGCTACATATTTAGCATGCTCATGCATATGCATAAGCTTTCCTAAGAACTAATTATAATATTTGCATCCTAATTATGAATGCACTTTCTTGCTGAGTGGGGGGTCTCTGGTGGTCACCGATAGTCTTCCTCACTGTGTTTACTGAATGTCCTCAGTGTTTGCACATGCTTGCAAGGTCATAGTGCTGAGTTAGCAGCTGGTATGTCCTTGCTTCTGTTCTGTTCCAGTCTTGCTCCACACTGGGTTCTGCTCTGTTATCTTGAAGTCTAGCATCCTTGGTCTTATTTACTGTCTTCCTAGTCAGTCCCATGATGTTCCCTTCCCCATCAGCCAAACATTCCTTTCTCTCTACATGTTAGTAAGTTAGAACAGTTTGGCCTATTCTACTATGTTAAAGGCACACATACTATTGTTAAAGATTTAAGGTTACAACATAGTTCTTGTTTGTAGAAAACAACATTTGCTTTGGTACAAAAATTAGAAGAAGAACTTGGGTAATTTACTACTGTTTGCTTTTGACTGATGTTCCTGTCTGATGGGCCATACATTGTGAAGTTTGGATTTTCTAATACAAAATACACACTTAATGCCTGTTAATTGAGGAGGTTGGCTTGATACAGTCTTTCAACTGCTTTAGATAGGCCACACCAACTCCAAGATTCTGCATCAGGAATTCAGTCTCCCTGGTGTTAGGCATAGCTGGGAAACAAACAGTATAGTCTTTGAGGGGAGACAAACTGTTATAGTATAGAAGTTTGAAATTAGTCATTGGCTGCTGTGTTTTTCATAGAAAACCTAATTTAGCAATGTTTTTAAAAAATCAGGTGCTTTGTGGATGTGTATAGTCTTAAATCCCCACTGCAAGTTGGAGCAGAAGGCCAGTTGGCTAAAACAGCTGAAAAAATGGAACAGTGTGGATGTTTGTCCCTGGGAAGATGGAAACCATGGAAATGAGCTGTCAAATTTAACCAGTGCTTTACCTCAGGGTGCAAATGCTAACCAAGGTGAGCCTAAATATATGCAATGATTGCAACATATAATATAGCCTTTATTTTATATACTATAGCCTTGCAGAATTCAGTACATTTTCTGGGGCAAGTAGCTTTCTTGTTGAGGATTGACCAGCCAAATATATTTTCACTAATACTATCCTTGCAGAAAGGATAAATAGAAGTGGTTTTGTGCTGGGACTGCAATTTTTTTCAAAGCAAGTATTTGTGTTTAGTTAGATCTTCTAACTTTTCACTTGGTCCTTCTAAATACTTGTTGCATGAAAATTGGATGTCCCTGAAGTATGTCATGTAAGAGCCTGTTGTTTCTTTGCTTAAAAATAATCTTATATCCCTTCTGGTGTTGGGGTTTTTATTTTGTTTGCAGTTACAAAGCCTTTGATCCTTACTTAAAGGGAGATCTGTTGTAATGGCATTAAACTGAGTGCAGGAGAAACTAAAGCAGCTATCTGTGGGATGTGCTCTGTATGTGCAGTCTGCATTGACAAGTGGGGGGGGGGTGCAGAGGCAACACTGCCTTCTTGGAGGAGGTGTCTGTTCTTACTCAGTATCATGCTTTCTAATTTAAAACATGATTATCAAATCTGACAGAAGCCTTCTTCAGTCATCTTCAAGCAAAGATTGCTACTTTGCTAATAAGAGGAAGATGAAGGATATTTACCTGGGTGAAAAACAAACACAAACCCTCGTAATCCTCAAAACCCTCACTATTTTGATACATATTTCATATAATCATGATAAAATTAAAATTAAATGCTTGTGGGAGGTGACAGATTTGGGCTTAGATGAGGTTTTCCTTGTTGCTTTTTCTTGGAAGATGACCTCTGAAGGAAGTAGACTTGGTTCATTTTTAAATCTTGCAGCTAGCTGGGGACATAAGTTCATTCAACATATAACTTCCTACAGAGGTGTTTTACTTTCTGGATCTTGTGATGTTTAGCCCAACCTGGGCAGGCTTGTGGCAACTCTGACATGGCATTTCAACATTCATAGACACAGTACCATATCAACAGAGCACTTTTGCCATAGGAAGATATCCAGTGAGGATTATGTCAGTCCCATGGCCTCAGTACTTAGCTTTCTTTGCAGTATATGTACATGTTTATGACAAAATTATGAAAGTGCTCAAAGTTAATATCACTTCTCAAAGAGAACAGTTAAAACCCTTTCATGTGATGTTTATCTGTCCCTCATCCTAGTAGCTCTGGGTCTTGGAAGGAGAGAAGCTGGGGATGCTTGAGTAGCTGTGTGCCATATACTTGATAGTTTGTTTTTAGGGGAGCTTTGTATATGCTGTTTAATGACTTTCATCTCTAGATGTTTCCTTTGCAAAGCCCTATTTAGCATTAGTTGTGCTGGTTTATAGATCTCTCTGAATGCAAAGTGAATGGCACACGTTTTGAGCTGTTGGTTAATAGTATGTAATATCATCTGTGGTCTGATCCCTGCGGAGCCAGGCAAGGCAGGTTGCCATAAATTGGAGGTTGGTGAATAGACAGAAGATGAGACTATTGTGAATGACTGATTCGCATATGAATGAGCAAAAGCTGATGCAGCTTTCTGATCATTCTGAAAAATGACAGATTCATCGAACAGGCATCATCGGACAGTGTTCACTCGAGCCATTGAGGCATGCAATCTGCACTGGCAGGACAGCCACTTACAGTACATTATCAGCGGTGACCTATACACCAACTGCTGTTACCATGACAACAATGAAAACTCACTCTTTGACTCTCAGGGGTGGCCCCTCTGGCATGGTAAGTGACTAAACTGAAAAGACAAAAGACATCATGTTTCCATGACTTGCTGCTTTGTTCAGTTTCTATGGCATTATTTTGCAGGGATGATGGGGAGGTGAATGAAAAGCTTGGCAAAAAGAACAGAGGATCCCTTGAAATGCTGTATCAGAACTAGTCCTTTAAGTCTCTCTTGCATAGTTTTAAAAACAAAACAAAGAAAAAAAGCTCTTTTGAGGAACCCAGCAAAACAGGACATTTTAGACATGGAAGCATTGCTATTCCTCAATTATCTTCTCCATTTTAGAACATGTTCCTACAGCCTGTGCGAGGGTGGATGCATTACGATCTCATGGATACCCACGAGAAGCACTGAGGCTAGCAATAGCTATTGTTAATACACTAAGAAGACAGCAGCAGAAACAGCTGGAAATGTTCCAGGCTCAGAAGAAAGGTAAATGTGGGAAAGAGGGAAGGGCAAAGGATGTGGCAAGGTGACAATAACACTGGACTTTAACTCTGCATGAGAAAACTGCTTTTGAAACTAAAGCAAAATAGGTGACTTAACTCTTCCATCCAAATGACCGTAGCGGTAATGCCACATTCTGGATGTTGGAGGTTGTGTTTTTTTAAGCTGGGTTTTAAGCTCTGCAGGGCAAGGGCTCTGTTCTGCCTTCTGCAATATGTCTGACATGATAGTGCCTTTATCCCATTAAGGCTTTCTGGTTACACAGTGTAAATATTTATCCTGTGTCATTTATAGACTTTTAAACAAGCTTTGCATTTGGCACATCAGGTATTTAAAATAATATTTTTTTCCTCTGATATATAATTTAGCAGCGCTATATATTTCTGAGGTGGAAGCCTAAAGAGGACATTGAAGGTAACAACAAGGCAAAGTCTTAACTACAGAAATTCATGAAATTTGGCAATTTGTTCTAAAAGTCTTTTATGACACTTAAAACTTTAGTAGATTCACATTTCTGGAAATGAGATTTTTGAAATACTGTCTTTATAAAATTTTCTGTGGTGTCCCTCTGAACACTACCCCTGTTTTTTGAAGGAACATTCTACCAAAAATAATCCTGCACTGAACTTTCTTATAAGTTTGAAGAGATAGTGGAAGAAGAAAGGGATGATTCTGTGGTTAAAGAATGTATGTGGGAAAACTGGAATTACATTCTCAGCTACTACAAGAACACCTTTCATTCACATTCATTCAGAACTTTGTTGCTACTCTTAACCATGTGTATCCTCTTGCATTGTAGGTAAAATATATCAGTGTGAAGTCACGTGTGTAAATTTTTCAAGTGTATGTGCAGGTGTTTTCCCAGAAATTTCATTTAGAATTTGAAGTCAGGGTAGACACCTAACTGGGGGAAAAAAAAAAAAAAGAAAAAAAAAAGCTGGCAGTTCCTTTCTGCCTCCGTTTCCATTTCACACTACCCAAGGAAGAAGCTTTGAGTACTATTGTGGGTCCTAGATTCAAATAAAACTTAAAAGCACTTTGTATTATTACTTAGGAGAATTTTTCTGAGTGTTTTTATCATGGAACATATCTTTCCTTAACATGTGCTTCCTTAAAAGCTTTGCATGTTTCCCAGCTTCTCAGAGTGGGGAGGTAAGAAGGGAGGAAGCTATGCCAGTGTGTGAATGTGTATACATACTGGTGACAGGTGGTGAAGGGTTTGCCACAAGTGTGCTGTTCCTAGTACTGCTTCTTTTCATTCCTAGTTGCTAATGCAGTATCTAGACATTCAATAATTCTGTTAAATTCCTTTCCCTGTGAGCAGTTTCTATAGCTGTCAACTAATATTATTCTAAAAATGGAGTGTATGAAGTGCAATTCATCCTACCCCAAAACAAAGAAGTTTGTAATTTCTGTGTTGGTACTGCTTTTTTTTTGTTTGGGTTTTTTTTTTCTCTTATGCTTGGAATTCTAAAATATTTTTAATCCTGCAAAATATGCTGGTCTTCTCTATAAACAGATTAATTCTGCAGCTACGGTTTCAGTTCAGCAACCACCACATGCTTCTACTTAGCTTTCATTCATGTGACTGATTTGACATCTGTGGAACTCCTTGCATGATTTAAATGTCTACATAAATGAAGGACTGAAGCCTCTGGCATGAGACAAGTGAAGCTCATAAGTAGATAGATGAAATGGAAAATAAGCGAGTCAGAAGTCACTGATATTAATCATTTTTGGTAATACTAAAGGCTTCTGTCTGTCATCTTTAGTACGTTATTTGTTAGTAAGACAATTGTTTTTAATATTCATATCAGTTGATTCTTTAAAAAAAGCCACCCTCCTCAGTTCAACAGTGTGGCTGTGTTTCACTTTGTAGCTCCACTTGTTTAAAGACGCAAGAAGCAAGCTTTTAAAGATTTGTGATTATACACATGGTTACTTAGAAAGAGGGCACTTTGTGAATGAGAGAGAGCAGAGGCAGGTACAAGTTAGCATGCAATAGGCAGAGAAACAGAGTATCAGTAATGGCTTGTATAGTTTTTTAAATGGTTACCTGTAATGCAACTGATTTCTCATAGTTCGGTTGTGTATGTATCTAGGAGAAAAATTTGGGAGTTGTAGTCAAAGGGGAGCTACTGCCATAAGATTCTTAATAAAAACGGGATTTGTGAAATCTCTAACCTCTGTTACCACAGCAATATTTCCTTTAATTAATTAATTGTGCCAAACAATATTTTCATGTTACAACTGATTGATGGATGAGGGCTACAAAACAAAGTATCCATGAAGGTATTTGTTGACTGAATCTTTAGAATAACAAAAAAAAAAAAAAAAAAAAGAAGCACATTTTCAGAAGAATTACTGGTATCAACTAAGAAATTTCAAGATACTGCAGTTGAAATTTTTGACCCATAATGCACTTTGCTAGTGCTCAAAATGCTTGGCCTTCATCTATTTTCTTTTTTTTTCCTCTTTTAACATATTCACAAAGGTCAATGAGTTCAACCTGAAAGATAGTATATTCTCCTTCTAAGCAGAAGCTACTAGAAATACTTTGAATTCTGTACCAAGAGCATTTTAATCAGTTTTATTTCTAGAATTGTTTTGAGGGGCTAACATGCTCTCTTTCCCTCCCTTCTCCCTCCATCTTTTCTGTCACAGAACTTCTCCACAAAGGAGTAACCTCAGTAACAAATCTTGAAGGTTGGGTGGGACACCCTTTGGATCCCATTAGTACCCTTTTCAGTAGCCTGATGGAAGCCTGCAGGGTGGATGATGAGAGCTTCCATGGATTCTCAGACTTCAGGGGTAAGGCCATGAAAAGGGAGCAATCTTCTCTAAGTCTTCAGTAACTGGAGGCATTTTTCTGTCTTGACTTTCTAAATTAAATTTTAAACCAGTGTCTTTATAGTATAACTCACATTTGTATACTCATACTGTCCTGGTTTCATATGAGATAGAGTTACTTTTCTTCCTAGTAGCTTGTACAGTTTTGTGCTTTGGCTTTAGTCTCAGAATAATGTTAATAATGTACTAATATTTTAGTTGTTGCTAAGTAGTGCTTACCCTGATCAAGGACTTTTCAGTCTCATGCACTGCCAGTGAGGAGGGGCACAAGAAGCAGGGAAGGAACATAGCCAGGACACCTGTCCCAAATTAGCCAAAGGGGTATTCCATACCCCAGAACATCATGCTCAGCATAGAAACTGGGGGGAAGTTAGCCAGAAGGAGCCAACTGCTGCTCGGGAAGAGGCTGGGCATCAGTCACTAGGTGGCAGCAATTGTGCTGTGCATCACTGTTGTTGGGGTTTATTCCTCTTTTTATTTCCCATTATTATTTATTATATATTATACTTTACTTTGTTTCAATTATTAAACTGGTTTTATATCAACTCACAGATTTTACCTTTCCCTAATTCTCCTCCCCATCACACCAGAATGGAGGAGAATGAGCAAGTTGTGGTATTTAGTTGCCAGCTGGGGTTAAAACATGACAATTCCCTAAGAAAACATAAGGGAGAGAAAATTTTTAAAGTAAAATTTTGTTATAAGTTATATGAAAGCACTCAAAAAACTACCAGTTACTCATTCTTGAAGACAACTCCATACTTGATGCTTGAAATAAAAGCAAATAAGACTTTATAGAGCAACCCTCTCCACATACATTGCTCTGTTCTCTTTTTGAGAAGCTACAGGAAATCACAGAGTTGTTGAGGTTGGCAGGCTCTTCTGGAGTGTTTTCCTACTCTCAGATGGAATTTCCTGTATTTCAGTTTGTGCCCATTGCCTCTTGTCCTGTCACAGGATACTGCTGAGAGGAGTCTGGCTTTATCTTTACATTCTCCCATCAGATATTTATACATGTCGGTAAGATCCTCCTGAGCCTTTTTTTTTTTTTTTTCAGACTAAACAATGCCAGATGTCCCAGTCTCTTATATGGGAGATGCTCCAGTACTTTAATCGTCTTTGTGGCCCCTCACTGGATCTGCTCCAGCATGTCCATGGGGAGGCCAGTATTAGACAGGGCACTCCAGGTGTAGGCTCACTAGTTCCGAGTGGAGTGGAAGGATCACCTTCCTTGACCTGCTGGTGATGCTCCTCCTATGCAGGCCAGGATGCTTTTTGACTTCTTAGATACAAGTGTATATAATAATTCAAATTGCTGACAAAACAATTTATAACAGGCATGGTCTGTAAAGGTTATGAATTGGAAAACAGTGTTGCAGTATTGATATATAATTTAGGGCAGGATGTGTATGCCCATTTTAATGTAAGCATTTACTTCCCAGGAGCTTAACTGGTTTATTCCTTATTCTCAATTTCTTTTCACCTTCTGGGTGGTCAGAAAATCAATTTATCCCTCTGTTTACAGCTCTCTTGTATATGCACATTCCAAAGCTTGGGGCTTTGCCTCAAAACCCATTTTATTCAACTGGATTTTCTTCAACAAACTTCTAAACCCATATCCACAAATTCTGGAAAAAAACATTAGTTAAAAGAAATCAAATTTTTTGCAATTAGGAAAAAAACCCACAAAAAAAAGTCATTAAATAAAAGTAGTGTGTGTGTTCAAAACTAAATTCCCCCTACACATACATATGCAATCTACCAAATGCATTCTGCCTTCTCATTTGCTGCAACTATTTCCTTTTTGGTGGGTTGATCTTGGTTGGATGCCAGCTGCCCACCAAAGCTGCTCTATCACTCCCCCTCTCAAACTGGACAGAGGAAAGAAAATATAACAAAAGGCTCATGGGTCAAGAGAAGGACCAGGAGAGATCACTCACCAATTGCCATCATAAAAGAGTTAGGGTTGGAAAAGACCTTAAGATCATCTAATTCCAACAGGCAAAATAGGCTCGACTTGGGGAAATTAGTTTAATCTATTACCAATCAAATCAGAGTGGGGTAATGAGAAATAAAAACAAATCTCAAACCACCTTTCTTTCACTCTTCCCCTGCTCCAGCATGGGGTCCTTCCCATAGGCTATATTTTTTTATAAACTGCTCCATGGGTCCCCCACAAGGTCACAAGCCCTCCTAGCAAACCTTTTTCAGCATGAGCTACCCTTGCCACAGGGCCACAGGTCCTGCCAGGAGCCTGCTCCAGCATAGGATTCCTACAGGGTCACAGCCTCCTTCAAACATATCAACCTGCTCTGGTGTAGGATCCTCCACAGGCTGCAGGTGGATATCTGGTCTACCATTAATCTCCATGGGCTGCAGGTGGACAGCCTGCCTCACCATGGTTTTCACTAAGGATTGAAGGGGAATCTCTGTTGCAGCACCTGAAGCACCTCTTCTCCCTACTTTTTCACTGATCTTGGTGTCTGCAGGGTTGTTTCTCTCGCATATTCTTCCTCCTCTCTTCCAGCTGCAATCTTCTGCACAATAACTTTTTCCCCCTCTAAAATATGTTATCACAGAGGTGCTACCACCATAGCTGATGGGCTCAACTTTGGATAGTGTCAGGTATATCTTGGAGCCAGCTGATATTGGCTCATTTGGACACTGGGGAAGCTTCTGGTATCTTTTCATAGAAGCCACCCCTGTAGCCCCCCTGCTACTAAAACCTTGCCATACAAACCACATACATCCTTACTTCTGTACATTACAACTTTTCTCAAACTAGACTGTAAACTGCTAGGGGTTTTGTCTTATGGTATGTCTCTGAAGTGCCTAATGAATCAGTAGTACTCTTAAGTAATTCATGGCTTTGTGTGGAATTTACAAATAATCTTTGCTAAAAGTTGCCCTTCTAGTGTTAATAGGAGTCAGAAACATTATACATGTTTATCATAAATACAACTCTAACAAAAAAGCATGAAAAGAGTTCTAGGAAACAGGTTGCTTTAAAGTTTTGTGGAGTTCCCAAGTCAGCTGTATTTGTACAATCCTAATAGCTTCATATGAAATCTATGCAGTATATAAACATCTTTCCTTTATACTTATATAACATCAAAACTTTAAGGAGATACAGAAATGGGTGGGGAAAAAATGGAGCTAGATCTTCCAATTTTGGCCTTATTGCGCAAAGCTGGAAAAACTTCCTTTCTCCAAATCATGCAGTTTAAAATGAAAACTTTGGTTTTTCGAGTATTTTTTTTTAAACTGAATTGTGTTATTTATTTCTGCCATGTGGAATTGGATCAGATAGTTCAGATCAGATCATTGGATCTTGAAATTGTGCTAGTAATTTAAATATTTTTTTAAAAATGAATACTGACAGAGGAAGCATTTGTAAATGTGGCATTATAGGCAGATTATTGATTAGAATGATTTCCTGATGTGTTATTCTTTGTGTCACCCTTTACAGAGAATGTGGGGCAATGCAAATCTCTGGAGTACCAGCACCTGCCTGCACACAAATTCTTAGAAGAAGGGGAATCTTATTTAACGCTGGCTGTGGAAGTAGCATTAATAGGGCTGGGACAGCAACGAATAATGCCAGATGGCTTGTATGCACAGGAGAAGGTTTGTCGAAATGAGGAGCAACTCATTTCTAAGCTACAGGAAATTGAATTGGATGATACTCTGGTGAAGATTTTTCGAAAACAAGCAGCCTTCCTATTAGAAGGTAGCTCAATGTAGATGCTCACTGCTTCTTTAAACTATCTTCACTTATACAAGCCCACTGAATTTAGTATTCCAGTGGAAACTGCCTTACATACTTAAGATTTTTTCTGATGTAGAGCTCAAGCAAAATTTTATTTCCGGTCTCTTATGAGAATCATACATACTTCAGATATCACATGACTACAGAGATAAGGAATCTACTGATTTATAAGCCTTTCATTTTTTTATTGTGTTTTGTTCTTTAGATTTGTTGCTTGTCATAATCTCAGTATCCTAATTATACAACCCAGGCTCACAGTTAAATAATATAGACATCAGATATCATCAACAGTTCCCAGGTAGCAAATTTCTCAATGTCACTTGTATCCTGAAAAAGGACTGGCAAATTAGTAAATGTATGAGGACTTTTACCTCTGTTCCCAAGTGAAGAGCTCAGAAAATTCACTTAGAATTACTGGGACAGAAGTATAACATTTTCTTTGTACCAATTAGGAAAATTACTTGCCTCTGAAATTTGTATCATACATGAAAATGAGAATATATGTTCAAATATTGAAGCTTAAGGCCTAATCTTATGACTAAATTTTGATTAAGACAAATAACTTGTGTTTGGCAATTAGCCAGTGTATTGCAATAAAATCTACACCAAATAAGTGCATGCTTTTGCCTTAGCTTTTAAAAAGGCTTAACATAAAACACTTAAGCCTCATGTTCACAGAGTAGTCTTGTGGGTTCTAAGGTTGTCTTTCTAGTTTTGGGGGTTTTTTTAATCGAAGAAAAAACTTTAAAGGAACCAATTAGCTAAAGGCATGATCCAAGTTTTGAGTGCTTGCTCAAGGGATCACAGTATCACAGTATCACAGTATGTTAGAGATTGGAAGGGACCTCAAAAGATCATCTAGTCCAATCCCCCTGCCGGAGCAGGAACACCTAGATAAGGTTACACAGGAATGTGTCCAGGCAGGTTTTGAACGTCTCCAGAGAAGGAGACTCCACAACCTCCCTGGGCAGCCTGTTCCAGTGTTCTGTCACCCTCACTGAGAAGAAGTTTCTTCTCAAGTTTAAGTGGAACCTCTTGTGTTCCAGTTTGTACCCATTGCCCCTTGTCCTATCATTGTTTGCCACTGAGAAGAGCCTGGCTCCATCCTCGTGACACTCCCCCTTTATATATTTATATACACTAATAAGGTCACCCCTTAATCTCCTCTTCTCCAAACTATAGAGACCCAGCTCCCTCAGTCTTTCCTCATAAGGGAGATGCTCCACTCCCTTAATCATCTTAGTTGCCCTGCACTGGACTCTCTCCAGCAGGTCCCTGTCCTTCTTAAACTGAGGGGCCCAGAACTGGACACAATATTCCAGATGAGGTCTCACCAGGGCAGAGTAGAGGGGAAGGAGGACCTCTCTCGACCTACTAACCACCCCCCTTCTAATACACCCCAGGATGCCATTGGCCTTCTTGGCCACAAGGGCACAGTGTCGGCTCATGGTCATCCTGTCGTCCACTAGGACCCCCAGGTCCCTCTCCCCTACACTGCTCTCTAACAGGTCGTTCCCCAACCTATACTGGAACCTGGGGTTGTTCCTGCCCAGATGCAGGACTCTACACTTTCCCTTGTTATATTTCATCAAGTTACTCCCTGCCCAACTCTCCAGCCTGTCCAGGTCTCTCTGGATGGCAGCACAGCCTTCTGGCGTGTCGGCCACCCCTCCCAGCTTAGTGTCATCAGCAAACTTGCTGATAGTACACTCAATTCCCTCATCTAAATCATTGATGAATATATTAAATAATACTGGTCCCAGTACCGACCCTTGAGGCACTCCACTCGATACAGGATGGTAGAGAATGTGATACTGCTCTAGGTAAGTTGTGAAGACTGTTACACAGAAGTCAGGTTTGCTTTTTTTCTGTAAGACATTTTTCTTTTAAAACTACTTCTTTAATGGAAGGAACACAGTATGTTGTTTAGGGTTCAGCTCTGAGTCACTATTATTGCCCCCGATCCTTAAAGACTTTGATACCTACTGATGGTGCTATTTGAAACTGCTGAGAAGCTGCACCATAGGGAGAATTTCCATTATGGTCTGGCTGTAACCGCTGCTTTATGGCCTTTGGAGAAGAACTGCTACTTACTGGATCTAGCTATTAACCACCAGAGAGAGATCCTATGGATTATTAAATCAATTCACTCCATCTATTTACTGGTAAGGATGTTTTATGAGGAAAAGGAAGGAGTTCTATGTTCTCTGATACTTCTAGTTTACTGCTTTGATCACTGATATTTTTTTTTGTTTTCTTACAGTAGTAAACAAGTGATCATAGCTAAAATAACTACCTGTAACTGATGAGCAGTGTGCAACAATGGTTTTGCATTACTGTGTGCTGAGAAATCTGGCTTTTCTTTAATAGCTTTAGTTTATTCCAGGTTAGACCGAAACTGCCAGCTCACATGGAGGAAAAACTGCAGTGATTGAAGATCTTAATCATATCAAATGTGGTTTTATACTAAAGTCCTGTAGATATCGTAAAGAAACCTTAATCCAATATTAAGATGATTTCTATGCTGTTAATGCAGATTAATGTATGCTGTATGTAGCTACCATTTGAATGCGTGGGAAAGTAGAACATAAGACTGTGTTGCAAGAACTGATCTAATTTTTGCTCTACTGCTAGGTTTAATGGCAGAATATGTTTTAATATATATTTATGAAATGGTTTCTTTCATTGAAGCGATGCTAGCTTGTTTTGAATGGCTTTCAACTTCATTTTAAATGATTGAGACACGCATTGTCACCTACTTAATCTTCATTGACATTTACTTTGTGATCAGCCCAGTCTTCAGAAATGCCCACCTATGGATCTCAGACTTTCTTAATGTCTAGTGATTTTTATCTTTGCATTTTGTAGATGTATAGGAATTCATGTGCACAATATAACTATGCAGAGGCAAAGCTAGGATTATCACCTTCTACTTTGGCATATCATAGACTTGATGAATGAGCCCCATGGAGTCTTGGGACCATTCTGTCATTTTTATGACACTGGTAGTGTGCTTAATATTATACAATTTGCAGTCTGTCTTCTTGTCTCAAAGAATATATGGTATTTAATATACTTCACAAAAATATTAATGTAACTTTACATTTGTAGAGCAAACTGTTTCTGAATACCAATTCTAGCTCAAGAGTTAATGAATGTTTTTAAAGGTCCAGAAGTTAGGTTTTAAAAGTCTGTAAAGACTAACATTATCTTTCTTTCTCTTTCCCACAGCTGGACCATATAGTGGTTTAGGTGAAGTAATCCATCGAGAGAGTGTTCCAATGCACACATTTGCCAAGTATCTTTTCACCTCTCTCCTACATCATGATGCTGAATTGGCATACAAAACTGCGCTGAGAGCCATGCGGTATGTATTCACAACACATCTAGAAAGAGCACAAGTAATTTGGAAAAAGGGAAAAGCTTAGTGTCCTGGGTTCAGCAGTAGCAGTCATTTTTTTCTCCTTAGTAGCTGGTGCAGTGCTGTGTTTTTGACTTTTGGCCTGGGAATGGTGCTGATAGCACCGATGTTTTTAGTTACTGCTCAAATGTTTGGTCTGGCCAAGGACTTTCTGAGCCTCATGCTCTGCCAGGGAGGAGGGAAGCCGGGAGGAAGCAGAGACAGGACACCTGACCCAAACTGACCAAAGAAGTATTCCGTACCACAGCATGTCATGCCCATCATGTAACTGAGAGTTACCCAGAAGGGCTAGGGACTGCAGGGTTGGAGGAAGTATCAGTTGGTACTTGGTTGGGTGAGGTGGGGCGAGTTATCGGTCGGCGGGTGTTGTATTCTCTTCCCTTGTTATTTCTCTTATCATTATTATTATTGGTGGTAGCAGTAGTGATTTGTGTTATACCTTAGTTACTAAACGGTTCTTATCTCAACCCGTGGGAGTTGCATTCTTTTCGATTCTCCTCTCCATCCCTCCAGGAGTAGGGGGAGGGAAAGAAGGGGGGAGTGAGTGAACGAGCTGCCCGACTGGTTTTAAACCACGACACTTGGTAATTAAGACCATCTTTTTTTCTAAAAGAAGCATTGTTCTTTTAAGGAGAAATTACTTTGGTTCTGTCATCTGTAAAAGTAAATGATATCTGTAGTAACTACAGTATAATCATTTATAAATGTACAATTAGTGTTTATCTACAACTGTAAAACAGCATTCTATGTTACAAATCCTTGTAGAATTCCAGTCTTGGGGCATGTGGTTTTGTGTTAAACAATAGCTTTAGTGTGTCTGTCCTCTTACTGATGTGGTTGTGCGTGTGATGGCAGTGACAAGAAATGAGGAAAGAGGGCTTTCACCAGCAGTCTCAGGATCATCTACTGCTTAGCAGATGATAAGACTATTTGTTCCACAGCCTTTATAAATTAATTCTCAATGATAGATTTGAAACCATATGGTGTGGTCTGAGCAAGTACTTTTTTCTTGTGCTTCGTAAATAAGCTGTCCTGCACCTTCCTGGGTGAAAGCTGGGATTTAAATGGACTATGTCATATGACAAAAAAAGTCTGACTTGCATCCCATTTGTCTTCAGTACTCAGGGAAAAAGATGTTTCTTAGGGAGTGCTCCGTGTCTGTTGGCTTTATCTCAGGGCAGGCTGCATTACTGATGGTGGCTAAGAAGGCCCTTAGAATCATAGAATAGTTAGGGTTGGAAAGGACCTTAAGATCATCAAGTTCCAAGCCCCCGTCATGGGCAGGGACACCTCACACTAAACCATATCACCCAAGGCTTCGTCCAACCTGGTCTTGAACACTGCCAGGGATGGAGCATTCACAACCTCCCTGGACAACCTATTCCAGTGCTTCACCACCCTAACAGGAAAGATTATTATATCCAATCTTAAATCCAATCTAAACTTCCCCTGTTTAAGTTTTAACCCATTACCCCTTGTCCTATCACTACAGTCCCTAATGAAGAGTCCCTCCCCAGCATCCCTATAGGCCCCCTTCAGATACTGGAAGGCTGCTATGAGGTCTCCACACAGCCCTCTCTTCTCCAGGCTGAACAGCCCCAACTTTCTCAGCCAGTCTTCATACGGGAGGTGCTCCAGTTCCCTGATCATCCTCGTGGCCCTTCTTTGGACTTGTTCCAACAGTTCCATGTCCTTTTTATGCTGAGGACACCAGAACCACCAGAACCACCTCCTTCTGATGGAAGTTTCAAGGGCATAAATGATCAATGATAAGTCTGAATAGACCATTCAGTGGATAAAGACTGGCTGGATGGCCGCACACAAAGAGTTGTGGTCAACAGCTCAATGTCCAGATGGAGACAAGTAATGAATGGTGTCCCTCAGGGATTGGTGTTGGGACTGGTCTTGTTCAACATCTTTGTCGCTGACATGGAAAGTCAGCAGGTTTGCCGATGACACCAAGCTGTGTGGTTTGGTTGATACGCTGGAGGGAAGGAATGCCATCCAGAGGGACCTTGACTTGCTTGTGAGGTGGGCCAATGCCAACCTCATGAAGTTTAACAAAATGATGTACAAGGTCCTACACCTGGGTTGGAGCAATCCCAGGCATAGCTACAGGCTGGGCAGAGAAGAGATTCAGAGCAGCCCAGGAGAGAAGGACTTGGGGGTGTTCGTTGATGAGAAACTGAATGTGAGCCGGCAGTGTGTGCTTGCAGCCCAGAAAGCCAACCATATCCTGGGCTGCATCAAGAGGAGCGTGACCAGCAAGTCGAAGGAGGTGATCCTGCCCCTCTATTCTGCTCTCGTGAGACCTCACTTGGAATATTGTGTACAGTTCTGGTGTCCTCAACATATAAAGGACATGGAACTGTTGGAACAAGTCCAGAGGAGGGCCACAAGTATGATCAGGGGACTGGAGCACATCCTGTACGAAGACAGGCTGAGAGAGTTAGGCTTGTTCAGCCTACAGATGAGAAGGCTGCGTGGAGACCTCATAGCAGCCTTCCAGTATCTGAAGGGGGCCTATAGGGATGCTGGGGATGGACTATTCATTAGGGACTGTAGTAATAGGACAAGGTGTAGCGGGTTAAAATTTAAACAGGGGAAGTTTAGGTTGAATATAAGGAAGAAGTTCTTTACTATCAGGGTGGTGAGGCACTGGAATGGATTGCCCAGGGAAGTTGAGAATGCTCCATCCCTGGCAGTGTTCAAGGCTGGCTTGGACATAGCCTTGGGTGGCATGGTTTAGTGTGAGGCGTCTTTCCTGGGTTCAGCAGTAGCAGTCATTTTTCTCCTTCTAAGTAGCTGGTGCAGTGCTGTGTTTTTGACTTTCAGCCTGGGAACAATGCTGATAACACTGATGGTTTTAGTTGTTGCTAAATAATGTTTAATCTGACCAAGGACTTTGTGAGTCTCATGCTCTGCGAGGGAGGAGGGGAAGTCGGGAGGAAGCAGAGACAGGACACCTGACCCAAACTAGCCAAAGGTGTATTCCATGCCACAGCACGTCATGCCCAGTATATAAACGAGAGGCAGTTACCCGGAAGGGCTAGATCGCTGCTCAGGTCAGGCTGGGTATTGGTCGGTGGGTGGTGAGCAATTGTATTCTCTCCCCTCCTTATTTCCCTTGTCATTATTATTATCGGTGGTAGCAGTAGTGGTTTCCTGTTATACCTTGGTTACCGGACTGTTCTTATCTCAACCCATGGGAGTTACATTCGTTTGATTCTCCTCCCCATCTCTCCCGAAGCAGTGGGTGGAGGGGGGGAGGAGTGAGTGAGCGGCTGTGTGGTTCTGGGTTGCCAGCTGGGCTTAAACCACGACAGTTCTTTGTGGCACCGATCTTGGGGCACGAAGGGTTGAGATAATGACAGATCTAACTGGAGTGTGTCTAATTGTATGTTAAGCATTCATTGTTTCGGATTAATAGTCACTCGTCACAATGCTGATTTATTGGCTCTCATAGTTGTTGCTCTTGATCTCGGGGTTTCAGCATGTCCTACCATACTTATAGCTGGCATTTCCTGTGTTAGAGTTTATCAGATGGGGGGCTTGCGCTAAGGTTCTTGTTTCACTGTACTTTATGGTAATGACTTGTAGTACAGTAGACTCATTGATCATGAAATTTATCTGGCTTATGTTCCCAATGTTGTCATCACCTTTGTATTTTGGGAGGTATATAATGGAAGTGTTTAGCAATTACACATCTTTTTCTTCTCCTCGTGGGGTTAACCTATGAAGGAGACATTCCTTTACATTCCCAGCTCCCCCACCAGACTATTTACAGCATCATTTGAGAGTTCTGAAGGTTTTGAATGGCCTTTGGGTACCCTTGAGACCTGCCTGCTGGTTTTGATGGGAATTATCATTTTGGCACACATACAGAGTGTGTTTTACCCATGACCATTTCATCTGATCTCGAAAGTTAAGTAGAGTCGGGTTTAGGTCTTGTCTAAGGTTAGACGACAATATAGGAGGATCAAGAGATTTTCCTCAAGGCTGGGCAGTCATGAGAGGCAGGGTGTGTGGGATATTATGGGTAAGTATCTAGGCCTGTGGGCCCCTCCAGTGCTTTAGAACTTCACCACTGAACAAGTGCAATATCCAGAAAAATTAGTAAAACACCTAAATGAGGTGTGTTGTCATCCTGGCCATACCAGAGGCAGACAAATCATGGCAATGTGCTGTGGCTTGGCCTATGCCTACAGAGCCCTGCTCAACACTATCCAGCATCTTCAAAGGGAAAAAAATTCTGTCTGGATCTGATGGCAAAGCACCAGACAACACAGCTACTCCAACTCCAAGCACAGCAGCTACACCAACCCCAGTGACAAGTACAGCAGCTACCCGAATCCCAAGAGCAACAGACAGCGCAGCTGCTGGTGCTACTCAAACCCCAAGCACAGCAGCTGCACCAACCCTGGCAACAGATACTGCAGCCACTCCGACCACAGTGATATTCACTGCAGATAAATCAGAGGACCAATTCGTGCCAATACTGGTTGCCCCTGTATGCAAGAGGAAAAGCAAAAAAGAGGCAAAAAAAGCAACTCGTGCAGTGAAGAAAGATGAAGAACCAATGCACTTACTACACGGAACAGCATCTGATCAGAAGTTATTATTATGTGGTTCAGAGGAAGAATCATAGAATAATTAGTATTGGAAAGGACCTTAAGATCATCTAGTTCCAACCCCCCTGCCATGGGCAGGGACACCTCACACTAAACCATGTCACACAAGGCTCTGTCCAACCTGGCCTTGAAAAGAAGAAGAGGTGACTTCTCAACCCCAGAACTCAACCAAGCTATGGAATACGCAAAAAGATTTTACCTATTAACCAGGGGAGCGCATCATCACCTGGTTGCTCCACTGCTGGGACAATGGGTCTGATGTTCATGAACTTGAAGGTGGGGAAGCCAATCAGCTGGGATCACTTGCTAGGGAATGGGGAACTTGACAAAGCAATTGCAAAAGAGAAACACAGCCCTACCACCTGACATGGACTGATCCAGACTGCAGTGGAAAAGGGGCAAGCTCCAGAACACCTGCAATACATTGATGACATTATTGTGTGGGGTGATACAGCAGAAGAATTTTTTGAGAAAGGAAGAAAAAACCTAAATCTAAATCCTTCTAAAAGCCGGTTTTGGCAAAAACAGAGTAAGGGCAAGCAACCTGCAGTGGAGATTCATTTTTTGGGAATAAAATGGCAAGATGGACGTTGCCAGATCCCCACAGATGTGATCGACAATATAAAAGCAATGTCTCCACTAACTAATAAGAAAGAAGCACAAGCTTTCTTAAGAGCTGTGTGGTTCTGGAGAATGCACAGCCCAAATTAGTGTCTGATTGCAAGCTCTCTCTATCATGTGACCCGGAAGAAGAGTGATTTTAAACGGGTCCCTGAGCAACAACAAGCCTTTGAGCAAATTAAACGAGAGATAGTTCATGCAGTAGCCCTTGGAGCAGTCTGGACTGGGCCACATGTGAAAAATGTACTCTACACTGCAGCCGGGGAGAATGATCCTGCCTGGAGCCTCTGGCAGAAAGCTCCAGGGGAGACTCGAGGTGGACCCCTTGGCTTTTGGAGTCAGGGATACAGAGGATCTGAGGCCAGCTATACCCCAACTGAAAAAGAGATACTGGCAGCCTATGAAGGGGTTCAAGCTGCTTCAGAAGCGATTGGCATTGAAGCACAGCTCCTCCTGGCATCCTGGTTGCCTGTGCTGGTCTGAATGTTCAAATGCAGGGTCTTCCCTACACATCATGCAACCGATGCTACATGGAGTAAGTGGGCTGGATTAATTACACAATGCTCTCGAACAGGACATCCCAGTCATCCAGGCATTATAGATGTCATCATTGACAGGCCAGAGGGCAAAGATTTTGGAATATCACCAGAGGAGGAGGTGATGCATGCTGAAGAGGCCCCACTATATATAAACTGTCAGAAAGTGAAAAGCAGTATGCCTTGTTTTCTGATGGGTCTTGCCATATCATGGGAAAGCATCGGAGATGGAGGGCAGTTACATGGAGTCCCCTAAGAGAAGTTGCAGAAACTGTTGAAGGAGAGGGTGAATCGAGTCAACTTGCAGAGATAAAAGCCATCCAGCTGGCCTTGGACATTGCTGAACAAAAAAAAAAAAAAAAAAAAAGGACAGTACTTTCTATCTGTACTGATTCATGGATGGTGGCAAATGCCCTGTGGGGGTGGTTGCAGCAATGGAAGCAGAGCAACTGCCAACGCAGAGGTAAACCCATCTGGGCTGCTGCACTGTGGCAAGATATCACTGCCTGAGTGCAGAACCTGGTGGTGAAGGTACACCATGTAGATGCTCGTGTACCCAGGAATCGGACCAGTGAAGAACATCAGAACAACCAATAGGTGGATAAAGCTGCTAACATTGAAGTGCCTCAGATGGACTTAGCTTGGCAACATAAGGGTGAATTATTTTTGGCCCAGTGGGCCCATAAACCCTCAGGCCATCTGGGCAGAGATGCAACATATAAATGGGCTCGTGATCGAGGGGTGAATTTAAACAATGGCAGAGTGCCATGTGCAGTGCCTCACTTGGATGTGTATGCAGTCTAGGATGCTTGACTACCCTACATGGTTCTCCTACAACTTGACCATGAGCTTGTTTGGAGGTTCTAGAAGGGGAGCACAGCTACTGTATACCCGTGACCGATGAACGGTACCGTCCTCTTTGGCTGAGCACAGAGTTTTGAGAGGGATGCACATGGAGCAGTGAGGGAGGAAAGGGACCCCCGCCTAGCCAGCCAGATCAGCCAAATCAACCCTGGCAATCAGTGGGGTGACAGAGGTTGCAGCCGGATTGCCCTCACATCCGTACACATCTGCCTTTGGTAGAGGGGTTGTAACTGGATGATCTTAAGGTCCTTTCCAACCCTAACCATTCTATGATTCTATTATTCTGTGATCAAAAGAGGTAAATTTGAGCATCCCTTCCTCCATGGCTAGGGTAAAATATTTGCACATAGAAATCTGTGCACTTGCTCATGCTTTTAGAAGTCAAGCATATTTCTTTCTTCTCCTGAACATTTATCAAAGAAGTTTACTTTCCAAGAGTACAGCTAGTTGCTTTCCAGACCTAAGTGTTTAGTGTCAGTCTGCACAGGTCACTGACCTATGATGGCAACTCTGGAATATTTTGTCTCTCTGTATTCAAAATCATGTGTTGCTGTTTATTTTTTTTTTTATTCCTCTTTTAGTATGTGGAACATTCAGTGTGACTTCAATGGAACCTGAGACCATAAGGTCTTTCATGCATGCACCTCAGTTCTGCAAGGATAGGGTTTGCTATTCTTGATGGTCACTTCTGTCTACAGTCTGTCTGCTTGCAACACTGAAACATATGGAGTAGAGCATTGGAGAATGTGGATCTGTGGTGACCTAGTTAACTCTTCACTTGGAATCTGAACTTCAATATTTAGCTTAATTTGGCTAATACCTTCTGAAGCCTGAATTTCAACCTAGGCTTTGGGAGTCAGACTTTAATGGTGTTGTTTAATCACTGAGTAGCTTTGCTAAAACTGAGCTAAATAATTGATGCTCTAAAGGGAAAAAAAGTGAAGAATGCTAAATCTGCTTGTTATTGTTATGATGTTCCCTAATCTTGCCAAAATTGCATGAAAGCCACCAATTCACAACAGTATTTCTTTTTTCACAGCAAAGAAACATAGAAGCTGGCAATGAAATTCAAAGTGACAAGATTTCCCACAAACAGCTTCTTCCTTTCACACTTTTTGTCTATTTACTGTTACTCCTAACCTAAAAATCCTTTTTGCATTATGTAGTTCGTATTTTTCCTGTTTGTTTGAAACATTTTATAATGCATCATTTTTCTTCTCCCCCTCTCTGCTTGGAAAAAAAAATAAGCTGAAGAATTTATATCTGTTTTATTTTAGGTATAAAAAACTATATAAAGAGGTGTCTCAGTGGTACTAGGGAAGAGATTTGACTTGATACAAATCAAAAAGTTCTTTTTTTCATATTAGCATGCATGTTATCAAATGTTGGTAGATAGAGATTAAGGACCTTAAAAACTAGTTCATAATTGAACAGCAAAATGTCCTTTCGGTAGGCCTGAGTTTATTGTAAGGTCAAAATCCAAATGACTTGTTGAATATCCCTCTCCCTTAGTTTGAGCATCTGCAAGTAAAGAAAGTATTCCAAATATTCAAAGACTGAAAAAAGGCGAGAGAAAAAAGCTTCAACTCTATGGATGATACAGAAAGTCTCTGCTGCCTTGGCCAATGGATGGCTTAATTGTCTTGTGAATTCCTACAGATTCCCACTGATGTAGGCAAGTTTGACAAATGGACTTTTAAGATTCCCCAAGAAGAGAAGTGGTTTTCAATACCTTTATACCCAGAACTACACATTTAATAAACAAGGTCAAGTGTTCTTGCAGCTTTAGTTTTGCTTATGAGTAACCTAATATAATAATGATTTCATGAAAGACGATTTCTTCCTTATTTCAGGTTGCTAGTATTGGAATCTACAGCTCCTTTGGGAGACATGTCCCACCCACACCACATTGCATCAATTGTTCCAAACCGGTATCCCCACTGGTTCACCCTAAGTCACATCGAATCCCAGCAGTGTGAGCTGGCATCGACCATGCTAACAGCAGCCAAAGGTACATTGCTGTCAGTTACATACTCAACTAAATGTATGCTTTTAATATTACATGTAATAAGCACAAGCTTGGGAATCCAAATCACAATCTGACAGGAGCTTGAAATGGGAACAAACTGAACTGACTTAAACCTGTCAATTTTCTAGCAAAGTGATTAAACTAGCTACATGGTAGCTTGAATTGACACTCATGGGACAGCTTTTTGTTCTGACATATGATATAGATAGTGAAATCCAGGAGTGGAAAAATCACTTTTAAATTTCATAAATCAGGATGACTTTTGGCCATGTACCATCAGGCAGGCACTAGAGGAGTTTGTGCTGTCTTGTATCTTTCGTTCACATGATTTAATTATGGCAGGTTTATAAAAAACAAAATGTGTATAGCTGAAGCATACTATTGTGTAGCAATGGCTGGCTCAATTATAAGGCATTTCTGGATGTTTTGGGAGCTTGTTTTGCCTTGGTGATTCTGTTCACACTTTGCAGGTGATGTTTGGAGGCTGGAAACAGTGTTAGAATCCATCCAGAAAAATATCCACTCCTCATCACACGTCTTCAAACTTGCCCAGGATGCATTTAAAATAGCAACACTCATGGACAGCTTGCCAGATATCACTCTTCTGAAAGTTTCTCTGGAGTTGGGCCTTCAGGTATTTCCCTCATTCATTGTTACTGTTGGTGGGTGCAGCTCCTTAAGTCACTTAGGAGCATACACTCTTTGGGCTCTGTCTGGAATTTTTAGATTCCATTTTCTGATGCAAAGCACAGTTGACTGGTAAACACAGAGCAAGGATCTGCACCTTTGTACCATTCGAGTGGAAGAGAGAGCTGGGAGCAGCTGCCTGCAGGGACTCCTGTTAAGGGGTGAGAGGACTAATACAGTGGGTTTGGGAGTATATGTAGGAATGGCTAGAGAGCAAAATTATTCTGCTTGCCAGAAATGCATTTTTGCAGATCTTTTCCATGGCTTTGAGGGGCTTCTTATCATTCCTCCCATCCTTTCCTCTTTTCCTTCAAATGAGATTTGGTAGGTGCTTGTTGAATTCCTGGAGAAAGCCAAGGTCAACAAAAATGACCTGTTTCTAAGGCAGACTGTGCTAACAGCAGCCCTTTCACTTCCTTCATAAAATCCTGCACTCCACAAGCTGCAGGATGGTCATCTGTATCAGACTCAGCTTGACATGTACAAGAACCTCAGATCAGTTTTCAGGCTCTCAGGAGAGACTTCACAAGCTACAAAGAGAAAGAGAGAAAGCTTTTTTTTTTTTTTTTTTTTTTGTATCTGGAGTAATATTGCCTTACACTGATGAATCTTGTAGTTTACACAGTTCATTTCAACAAAAATAAATCTCTCTATCCCTCTTCAGGGAGTTCTTAAAAACAATAAAAAACTCCAAACAAGCAAAAAATGCAAAGAACAGAAAACCATTTATTACTTTGCTTCAGTAAACAAAGCTCCAAATGCTTCTGGGGAAAGGATATTATTCCAGTTGCTGTGGCCTGGATGCCACTCCATCACTCCCCTCCTCAACTGGATGGGGGAGAGAAAATATAATGAAAGCCTCATGGGTCAAGATAACGATGGGTAGAGATCACTCACCAATTGCCATCACTGGCAAACCAGACTCAACTTGAGGAAATTAATTTATTACCAACCAAATCAGAGTAGGGTAACGAGAAATAAAACCAAATCTTAAAACACTTTCCCTCCACCCATCCCTTCTTCCTGAACTTCTAATTTCTCTACCTCCTTCTCCCAGGTAGTGCAGGGGGACAAGGAATGGGGGTTGTAGTCAAGTTCATCACACATTGTTTCTGCCACTTCTTCCTCCTCAGGGACAGACTCCTCACATTCTTCCCCTGCTCTAGCATGGGGTCCCTCCCACAGGAGACAGTCCTCCATGAACTTCTCCAATGTGGGTCCTCCTGTGAGCTACAGTTCTCCACAAACAGCTCCAGCATGGGTCCTTTCCATGGGGAAATCTTTCAGGAACACAGTACTCCAGCATGAGTCCCCCATGGCATCGCAAGTCCTGCCATCAATTCTGCTCCAGAGTGGGCTCCTCTCACTCCACAGGTTCACTGGTCTTGCCAGGAGCCTGCTCCAGTGCAGGCTTTTCACAGGGTCACATCCTCCTTCAAACAGCCACCTACTTCAGCATGGGGTCCTCCACAGGCTGCAGATAGATGTCTGGTCCACTGTTAACCTCCATGGGCTGCAGGGGGACAGGCTGCCTCATCATGGGCTGCAGGGGAATCTCTTTTTCAGCACCTGGAGCACCTCCTCTCCCTCCTTCTTCACTGACCTTGGCATCTACAGAGTTGTTTCTCACATATTCTCACTAATCTCTCTGGCTACAATTGCTCCTGTGCAATAACGTTTTCCCCTTCTTAAATATGTTATCACAGATGTGCTGCTACCATCACTGACAGACCCGGCCTTGGCCAGTGGCAGATCTGTGTTAGAGCCAGCTGGTATTTGCTCTATTGGACACAGGGGAAGCTTCTAGCAGCTTCTCACAGAAGCCACCCCAGTAGCCCCCCACTACCAAAACCTTGCCACAAAAACCCAATACACACTTTAAATACATAGAGGGAGGGGACACAATATAATTTAGTTTGGATAATTGGTCATTGGTTGGGCTTTTTTGTAGTGTATTTTGGGAGGGGGGAAGTTGTTCCTCTTCCTGAATAAAACAGAGTTTCTCCTCTGGCCTTAAAGGGCCTGTAGTTGGAATTGCTCTGTATGCTTTTCTAAGATAGTTGAGCACTATTTATCAAGTCTTTTGACATATCAACTAAAAAGAAGTAACAGAGTGGAGAGGGCAAGAGGCTGCCTTTTTGAACCTCAGTGTATTTGAGTAACTTGAATCCCTAATTGCTGGTATATTGTCTTCATTTTGCAATAGGATTAATTTGTATTTTATTTGTGTTGTTTTAATAGGTGATGCGGATGACGCTGTCAACACTGAATTGGCGACGGCGGGAAATGGTGAGGTGGTTAGTAACATGTGCAACAGAAATAGGTATGTTTTGAGATGCTTCTTAAGGGCTTCTGCTTTTTTGTCAGCTAATCTTAGGGGGCTTGATCTTGTTTGTGAGGACCCAGGCTCTGCAAATGTCTCCCACTTCCTGTTCATCTATAAAATTCCTTTGATTAGAAGACATTAATTATGGCAATGATGAGTGGGTTTTTTGAGCATGTGATAGAATAAACACAAGCCAAGTGCAACAATAGTTGAGTAATGCAGAGTGACTTCTTTCCCCTTCAGTGTAGGGGCATGCATAACCTCATGAGAAATACCCTAGATTTCTCCTTGTCCCCTCCACACTGGGTTTGGGTTTGAGGCTACAGCAGATAAAAGGCTCATGGTCATGGGCTTTTACACCATTCTACAACTTTGCTTGCACTGAAAGGTGGGACACCAAAAATCTGGTGAGTGTGCTATCTATCTGGTCAACTGTGGGGAAGAGGAACCAGAAAACAGGTGAATGAAATGCTGAGGATGTCTTTGTGTGGCAGACCATCTCATGAAGGGGCAATCATTGCTTGCTGTTTTCTGTTTTGTTTTTTAAAGCCCTGGGTAAATCCAAGCTTAGAGTGCAGTGCATCTTTGTTATGTGGCTATGACATAGTGGCCTGCCTCTCATCTGCACTGGAAAGCAAACCAAACATTAATGCACCCATCCATGTAAGGTGAATATAAGGTGGGAGCAGAACTAGCCTCGTACTTAGAGGACCGTAGTGGGAGAATAGTGCACTCAGCAGGACATTATGTTAATTTTGGGGTTTTGCCATAAATTTTTTGTGTGTTTTGATGAGGCATCCCTTAGCTTCTTGTCCTGGGTTCAGCACTGAACCCAGGCCACTTTTATATTCTGGTTTGTCATCTGTGAGATGAGGATACAGAATCTGAAAGTGAAGATGTGAGCATTAAAAAGTGTGGTAGTGAGGACAATATCAGTATTATGATAAGGGAGCAATTTTAATTGCCACTAAAGGTATTATTGGAAAGTATGCTTCCGTACTGTATTTACTACTTTTTCATACATCTTGAGTTTCAGAACTTTAAAGGATTGCTGCTGCTTATTCTCTGGGAAATTAATGTTGTTACTAGCATGGGAAAATAAAGCTTGCCTTTGTATGCCCTCAGTCAGAAAATTGTTTGTCTGCGAATTTCCATGCAATGCTCTTGTTTTATTGCTTTTACATCTTTGCTAAGGTAATTATTACTGAGGCTATCTTGTAGATATTAGTTCCTGGGTATTATTTTGTGAAGTTACATATTGGCAAATAATAAAATGTTGTGTTTAATGTTGCTTTATATTAGTTGTCATGGATTAAGCCCAGTAACTCAGAACCACGCAGCCGCTCGCTCACTCCCCCCTTCTTTTTCCCCTCACTCCCGGAGGGATGGGGAGGAGAATCGAAAAAATGTAACTCCCACGGGGTTAGATAAGAACAGTCCAGTAACTAAGGTATAACACAAATCACTACTGCTACCACCAATAATAATAATGATAAGGGAAATAACAAGGGAAGAGAATACAACCACTTGCCACCTGCTGATCGATACCCAGCCTGACCTGAGCAGCAATCTGGGCCTTCTGGGTAACTCCTCCTAGTTTATGTACTGGGCATGATGTGCTGTGGTATGGAATACCCCTTTGGTTAGTTTGGGTCAGGTGTCCTGTCTCTGCTTCCTCCCGGCTTCCTCTCCTCCCTAACTATTCTATGATTATTTAGATGAAGATCTGGTATTTTCTGACTAT